AGGGTGAAGAAGGGAGTACTTGCATTTAGTTCAGGTACCAATCAAACCATGACGATCACATAAGTGGAGAATCAAATCTTGGATGAATTATTGGAAGAGACTTGATGCATTCGAAGTTAACTCACATTCATTGAATGGAATCAAGTCACATGCTCAAGATGGCTACGCTCAAGGAGAAAATCAAAATTAACATGATGACACCCTCACTTGATGAAGATTGAAAGTTATGGCAATTGGTTTGAAGGGACTCAACTCAAGCGGTTTAACTTCTATTTTCATTTGATTTTGAGTTAATAGGTATGCCGTACTATTAAGAGGGATGCATCATGTTGATAGATACTTATTCACAAGTGCTCAAGCCAACCTATGTGAAGTTCGAGTGTTTGAGAGCCAAAAGAGCTAACCTATTTTTGCTGAGTCTGGTAATACCGGACGTGTCCGGTATTTCACCAGCCACAACAACTTTCTCGGTGTTCTCCGTTTGGTTCATCGGGAGTTTTGACAAATGTCTAGAGTTCTGGGAGTCAGAAGTTCCAGCAGTCGTTGGGAGTTTTGACGTCTTGCTGCATTACTAACTTAGTGACCGTTGGAGCTGTACGGGTGATACCGGATGTGTCCGGTATTCCCCAACGGCTAGTTAATGGCTAGTTTTTCAAAGGGGCTATAAATACCCCTTAGCCTCCACCTTTGGAGGCCATTGATTCTGCTGACATCTCTACATGTTTTTGAGCCTTGAGAACACTCTCCAACCCTCTCTTAGTGAGTGATTGATTCAAACTTGCAAAATCTATCTTATGGGTTGAGTGAGATTCAAAATTGAGAGCAACCCACCCTTGAGCACTTGTGCATATTTATCGATCTTGTGATTTGCATTTGTTACTCTTGGACTCTTCGGTCCTAGATGCCTAGGCGTCGCCGGAGAGCACCCAAGAGCTTGTGGTGTGCCTCGGGAAGTTTGTACCGGTTTGATTCCATCACCGCAAGGAAAGGAATCAACTAGTGGAAGGAGGAAAAGGAGTTGGAAAAGACTTCGGCTAGAGTGGCCTTCGTGGTTGTTGATATTTCTTAGCGTCGCTACTAAGAACAGAGTTTCAAATCTAGTCCCTAGCAACAGCGCCAGAAATGCTTATTGGTATTTATTAACGTGTCACTTATTTTTAAATAGCCACCTATTATAAACCTATATCTCCTAATTTTACTAGGTTGTCATCCCTAGTGATGATATAAGAGATACTTGTTGGTTCTACATAGCATTACTACTCGAATAATACTAAGCAGTTCTTTATTAATTATGTGACTAGGAAGAATAAATAAATATATGAATGAAAAGGATCTGCAAGCGCATAGATAATATACCATTGTAGCATTTTACCCAATAGTATTTCAGGTATCATTATTTATATTTTTACCATATGGGAGGTCTACCATGGACATGTATTGATAACTTATACTATTGAAGGAGAAGTGAACCATAACTAATATTCTACTCATAATAGGGGTAAGTCATAGGATATATATATATATGATAAGTATTGATCAATAATAATAACAAATCACTCAGAGTACTCCTTTCTTTGGCATTAGCATGGTCAAGTAGAATATTAGAGGAATAATTCCTAAGTCATTCCTAATTACAAGTCAAAGCATACATTGATTAGTGCAATTATACCTAGTAATCATTGCTAAGATCATCGTCATATCTACACATAAGGGATATTACTAAGGAAGATTAAGAACATACCTTACTCTTCCTTTGTAACCAAACCCTACGTGCGCCAATATTCGGGGAGTGGACTACAAAAGACTCAACGGGAGTGTCACATCCGCGATCTACCACATGACCCAGAATATAGGGTGTATCCACAGATAAACAACGTATAAGCACCATGCTTACACAATATCGACCACCCACCCATGGATCCTTAGAGTGAGCGCTATACGAACTTATGCATGAATATAATGATAATCCAACTATACTAAGCATATAATCAAAGTAGACATTGAACATTATAATGAAGAACATGAATAAGATGAATAATGATATTGTCATAACAATTGTAACTAGCATATAAAAGTAATGGAGATACAAAAGAGAGAAGGGTACAAAGATTATACCAAACCACGCTCTTTACAAGATCGGGAATCCAAGCGAAGTCTGCTTGTCTCCTCTAGACCTAGCCTAACTAGCTATGCCCTAAAATATGGTGGAGCTCTGAGGATGATTAGGGTTTCTGTCTTCTCAAATGACTTATCTACCTGAGGGAGGGGGTAGGGGCTGGTATATATAGGCTGGAGCATCCAACGTGAGCCCTTGATCAAACCAACTTAAAGGACAGCGTAGATGCAACCTATGAGGCGGTGAAGAACCGACATAACAACGAGGGCTAACAGGTGGGCCCCAGGGGCTGAGCAGCTTATAGGTGGGGCCAGGCAGCCCCACTGGCGAGCGTCTCGCCCTCCGCTTCAGTGTGGAGTCCTCCCGAGTCTTTAGAGTCTTCTAGTGTCCGTTTCGCTGTGGATAAGCGCAATTAAATCTGACATGTAGGTCCACCTTGATGGTTTTCTGGATAAACCCTGTAGAAAATACAGATTCACCAAAACTCGTGGAATTTGTTAGTTTAAACCCCTAAACCTTCATTGGTGATTATATTTATGCCCTTATACATGTTATATTAATGGTTTATAATGGTTGTTAACTACCATCAACAGTGGTCCTCTAGAGCTGACCTTCGCTGGGTCGCTCGCAGCCCCTCAACGGAGAGTAGGATTCGATGGAGTCTGAACTTCGGTAAAACAAATATTGTGTCTCGATCTCTCTTTACATTTGGTATTTTTGATCTTTGTGTGTTGTTTGAGCTTGTCAACAGGTTACCAGTAGTGGTCTACAACTTGGATTGAAAAAAGAAATCAATCGAGAGTAGTTGAGTGCTGACCCAGCGAACCTGTGTATACCGGACACGTCTGGTATTTGGAGCCTATGCTATTTTATTTGTTCGTTGCTCTAAGCTTTGTTTTGCAGGGTTGTAGCCCCTATACTATTCTACATACCATGTATACATTGTTAGCTAACTCATGAGGAGTTTATTTCTCTGATTCAACACTAATCATTTCCGTATTTTAAAGGGTTGAATTTTTGGAAACACCTATTCACCCCCCCCCTTAGGCGGCATCTTCGGTCCTTTCACTTGGTCTCTAAGTTGGCTCAATCACAAGGCGTTTATGCAAGCCTCGATTCCAAGTGTTTTTGCCTCTCTGGTGGGGAATGAACCCAATAGCACCTCACAATCAACTCCAGAGCACCTCGCAACCTTTAATCGAGTGCTTCAATAGAGACAAACTACTCCAAACCATCTAGGTGGTGGCAACCACAAAGAATAATAAGAAATCTCTAGTGCTAGTAGATGCTATCTCTAAAAAAATATCCACTAAGCTAAAAAACTAATAGATATTTGCATATAAAAATGTATGTTTGTTATTACCTTTCTTTAATAAGCTACGTCCTTTACACATGCATGATTTATCATAAGTGTGTTACGCGTATTAAACTTCACGCAAAAAAGGATGAGCATTGGTATGATACAACGCACAACTAGGAACCCATACACAATTGTTGTTTACATCCATTCAATGCACCCTCAAGGAAAAAGCTCCTCATCAGCATTGCTTTGAACAAAACAACTAGCAAAAAAACAAATAAATAGTTGGTCTTTTGAGCAAAGAGATTTTTGCTTACACTCATTATGTTGAAAATTGCTAACAGCTGGGACCATCATCATATCCTATCAAAAAAATTGAACCTAATGGATATTTACATATCACCACTAAAAGTTTTTGTCTGTTATCTAGAAAGCTCAGCTCATTTACATGTGTGGTTTCTCATAAGCATAGCACATCTCACACTCCACGCAAAAGTTGCACCGCATTATAACAATACAACTATGAATCCAGCTAAACATAGTTGTTGTTTATGATGACTTAGATCACCCTAGATCAGGAATGAAAAATCCTTCTCAACATTGCTTTGAACAAAACAATCAGCCAAAAACATCTAAAATAGTTGTAGTCTTCTTGAGCAAAGAGAATTTTGCTTACACTTATTTTGTTGAAAAATGCTAATAACTAGACCATCATCATATCTTACACGAAACAATTTGAACACCTAATGGATATTCGCATGTCATACCTAAAAATGTCTGTCTATTATAATGCTTACACTTATTTTGTTGAAAAATGCTAACAACTGTAGCATCATCATATCTTACATGAAACAATTTGAACACCTAATGGATATTCACATGTCATACCTAAAAATGTTTGTCTATTATAATGTTCTAGAAAAATTTACCCCTTTAGAACAAGTACATTGGTGCTATCTCATGTACAATATCATGCATTGTCACGTAATCATGAGGTAATTCAATAGCCAACATATATAATGGGTTGTCTTATAATAATTAAACCATTTTTTATTTGTGCAATCAATAAAGAAATATTTGTGAGTTGCAAGACAACATAAATCATACAATAGTGAAATAGTTGTCCCATAGTTTTACATTTTTACTCATGAGGTGGTTGCGTCATGAAACAATTGCATCTTTGTTTCACCTTCATCTCTTCCCTGCTCGTCATAAAAAATCCTAGTCTTTCTATTCCAAATTGTAAGTCGTTTTAACTTTTTTTTTAGGTACATAGCTTAGCTTATGTACCTACCCTTATATAATGTCTCGCACTCTACGCAAAAAATTATAATTATTGTTGTTTATGAAAACTTAGATCACCATTATAAGGAAGAAAACCCTCAGTGAGCACTGGTGTGTACTGACAAAACAGATGGTAACAATGCTAGTTTACCATCCAAGCCGTTGATCTTGAGCATCTGCCATTTCTGGAAAATCACAGAGGTCCACGAAGGCCTCCGGCTCAGCAAAACCTGTTATCCACGCCGCACGCTGCCATGGCGCTCAACCGGCCCGCTCTACCCACCACCAGCCAGTATAAAAATGCGCCCTCTTCTCCTCCGGCTGCTCAGTGTGCTTGGCTCCATTTTTCTCCTCCTCTCGTTTTTGCGTTTAGGCCCCTGGGGAAGCAGGGATTCCGGCGACGGTCCCTGTCCCCGGCTCTCCCGCCTCGCCGCTCCGATCGAGGCTGCAGCGTCAGGTATGATCCTTCAGAGCCGCTTTCGAGCCTCATGGACTTGCATTTCACCTCGTGGTCGCGCTGTCAGTTTTAGATTTCATCTGCCTCTGTGAGGACTTAATTAGAAACTAGAAGCGGTGCTGGGGAGTCGCCGCGGTCTCTAGGAGGTATTCCAGGGCAGGATTTGGTGAAAATCTTGGTTTGCGGGGCAAATTTTGGTGCCAATCACTCTTGGACTGGGGATTATGGTGCCAAGAACTCTTTAGGAGAAGATCCTAAATTTGGGTGGGTGTTTAAGTTATAGAGTACGGTGGTTGGGCTATTGTTGCTCCGAAAATCTTAGAGGAGCCCGAAATAGTAGGTAATAGTAGTAGTTGTTTGTTTGTTTATATGCGGTAATGTAGAAGTTTTTCTGTTGGCCGCTCCTTTTTATGATAAAATTTGGCTCTAAATTTATGGTGCAGTAACTAGTACTTGTAATTAGGAGTTCTGACCAGGTACATATGCCAGGGTGAAAAAAGAGAGGCAGGAAGTAGGTTTTGTTGTTGTGATGTGATGCAGAACTTCTTTATCACTATAGCTATTTTATTTAAAGTTGTATTTTTGCGTCCTGTAGTTGCATTAATGGGAAATCAGTGCCAAAATGGAACCTATGGGAGCAATTACAACAACTACAACTACTTTCAGAAGGAGCCTTTGGCTTCTAGGTACTATGATGGTGACGATTCTGAGGATTGCTACTCAGGGCCATCTAGGTCGAGTATAGCGGATCTTATATGGCAAGGACTGAGACAAACCTTAACGTCCATCTCTGTCCTTGGTCGAAAGACTCCTAATGTAACAGAGCATTATACCCTCGGCCGGCAGCTTGGAGAGGGTCTCACTGGGACAACCTACCTCTGCACTGAGATCAGCGCTGGTTGTCAGTATGCATGCAAGTCCATCTTGAAGACAAAGTTTCGGAACATGCAAGATATCGAAGATGTGCGCCGTGAGATCCAGATAATGCACTACCTTTCAGGCCAAAAGGATACAGGGGGTGTTTAGTTACTCCAAATTTCCAACTTTGGCACTATAAAAAAGAAGATTCTCCATCGTATCAAACTTACGGTACATGCATGGAGTATGAAATGTTAACGAAATCAAAAACTAATTGCACAGTTTGGTTGTACTTTGCGAGATGAACGTTTTGAGCCTAATTAGTCAACGATTGAACAATTAGCACAGTGTTTTTGTCGGCGCCGAATCGGTGCAACTAAACGAGCCCACAGTCACCATCAAGGATGTGTACGAGGATGAGGAGGCCGTGCACATTGTCATGGAGCTCTGTGAAGGTGGTGAGCTATATGACCGGATTAAGAAGGGGAATTACAGTGAGCACAAGGCTGCAGATCTTATAAAAAATATTGTTGGCATCATAGAGAACTTCCATTCACTTGGTGTGATGCACCGGGATCTCAAGCCAGAAAACTTCCTCTTACAGGATAATGACGATGATTTGTCAATAAAAGTAATTGACTTTGGTCTCTCTATGTTCTTCAAACCAGGTATTATATCAATTTAAAACAAGCCATCAGGCTGTTCGAGGCAAGCCTTCCCCCGCAAATCTGCGGAGAGGCTGCTTTGAACCCAAGTCACCAGGTTGTGGGTTCGAAGCAGCCTCTCCGCAGATTTGCGGCGGAAGGCTTGCCTCGATTTTTTCCTTCTCCAGACCCTACTCATGTGGAAACCTCCGACACTGGGTCTTTCACTGAAACAGTTGGAAGTCCATATTATATTGCTCCAGAGGTATGGCAGAAGCATTATGGACCGGAGGCTGATGTATGGACAGCTGGAGTGATACTCTACGTATTGCTAAGTGGCGTGCCACCATTTTGTGCAGGTGAATTGATTAGACGTGGATATTTAACTATTTGTAGTTTTGCTTCTATTGACACCAAAATTTGGTAAACTTACCCTGGAGAGGAAAGTATCAACCGATGATATCAAAGACATTAAAATCATATTTGCAAGCCAGCCACAGGTTTAGTTAAGCTGAGTCATTTACGATGTATTGTCGGGTAGACAAAGGTTATTTGATATTCCAAATACTCAGCAAGGAGACGCAGTCCAGTTTGATTAATCTACTACAGAGATCCTACGTGGACAAGTCCAAAAGAAGTATTATTGCCAACCTGGATATTTATACGTGAGGAAAAGTAGGAAAGAAAATAGGTCGGTGGTTGCTTGCAAGCAAAAGAAGTTACATGCATGCATGATTGATCAGTCTAAGAGAAATCGTCAATTTGATCTTGCAAGCTAATAGAGAAAGAAATCAAGGAATATACACATATACGGACGTCTAGGTGCACATCAACGATGAGAAGACAGGATATGTATCTTGTATATGCGTATACGAGGCCGGCTAGGGGTCATACACATACTCAGTAAAATAACGTGTCTGCGTACAAAGACTTAAGACACGTCGAACGAGGAGAGCCAGATAGATGGAGATTCACAGGAAGGGTGAGGCATCACATAATACGACTCCAAGGACACCACGTTTGCTTGCTGAGATGTAAAGTAAGAAAGGAAAGCCGCATATGGCCCGAAGAAAGATATGCATGCAAGCTATGAGAAAGTCCACCATAGGGGGGAGTCCTCGCACACGTCTGTCAAGGGGATATTATTTGGCAGTTTAGGATTAACGAAGGGTCCAGGATTTTTCCAGTTAGACTATTCTTGTATGCAAAGCCAGGAAAGTTCCTATAAATATAAAGGGTACGGCCTATTGTAAAGGGATCATCTCTTAATCAATCAATACAATTACTTTTTTGGCTTCACGCTAACCCTTAAAAGTAGGAGTAGTGTAGAAACTCGGCGAGTTCTTCAACAAGCAGGGCTGCATCGACTGATCGACCTCTGGCTTGTCTGTGAGTACCGTCATGACTTTTATTATTACTTGTAAGTCTGTATCAGCCGATTGATCTCTTACGAGTTATAGTAAAAGTTAGTTATCGATTCATATTGTTGTTTGTAAGACTGCATCAGCTGATTGATCTCTTACGAACCATAATATAGATCAAAGTTATCAATCTTGTGTTAAATAACTTGTTGTTTAACATAATATCGCTAGTTATCGAATCTACTAAGATTAGTAAGATTTTTCTTGTTGTTTTTGGTTGATTCACCAATTATCGATCTTGTCATAATTAATGTTTTATTAATTATAATAAATCACCTGATTGAGATGGAGATAGAATCGGCATCACATCATCTTAATTGGTCGTCTTCTAGTCTGGTCACACTTTGAATCTTATAATTGATGGCTTAATTCTGCTAGATCGACTATTTTATCTCTATTCCAATCAAACATAGTATGCATTCAAAGACATGTTCCAATCTTGAGTAAGTTCACTAGTTAATAAGATCGAATCTAATGACACAACTATAGCTGCATCGATCCGGTCAAACCTCACTGGTAAGACTTTGGATTAGAGATTATCAATTAGTGGTTTTGTTCACGATCGAGATATGTACTCTGTTTGTTTGCTATGCATGCATCGGCTATTTTAGCCGATTCACCTGTGTTTTCACGCATATAGCATGTTTTTCATGAACCTGTCAATATATAGATGGTTTTATAGATTCTTTGGCTTTAGTTTGTTATTATTATCATAGCTGTATCGATCCGATCGAACCTCACTGTTGATGGTAACAGATTAGATTCAGAGCGTTTGCAGATTCATTTGTACTAGACAATCGATTTGTTCGTGTGTTATACCCTTTTCATCAAACTTATCGGCTCAACGTTTTATATCGATCATGTTCTATTTAGCCGATGATGTTTTCTGATGTTCCATGAGCATCGTTTATTTCAATTCGTATCATTATCGTTTAATATTAGCCGATAATCCTTGATTCAAAGGTCTTCATTCCATGAATACGCTCGACTATAGCCCCATTGAATCGGCTATTTGGCCACATATTGGAACTGTCTGGTGCAACACCGACATGTTCCACCTTAAACTACTGATTATTCTCTCCTTGTCAATTGCAGGGTCAAATTGACTGGCACGCCTTTGATCCCAAAACCGACCGTTCTTGTGTTGAAGCTAAGTAGATCTTCGAGCTCACTCCGTCAAGATCATCCGGCTTGCTGTGTGTTGATCACATCACCACATTTTTGTGTCAACACACTTTTTGGCACACCCGGTGTGACCACAATCGTTTGATCAGAAGTCAGAGATATGGATTCCGAGCATTGAAAAGTGCTTAACTCTACTTGGACGCATGCTGCTAGAATTCACGTATGGAAGAAAATACAGAAAGAACAAGGCGTACCGTTGTAGGCTTCGTGTCTACTAGTACGTGTCATTACTCCACCGTGTAGATCGTCATGTTTCAAGAAGGAGCGTTCAATGCGGTTACAGTATGAAGATCCAGCAAGTAATCCAGGGTATGTCAGTGCGTCTACTAGTCCCAAGGAGTTAATGCATCTGCTGGAGACATGAATGATACATGGTACGTGTGAAAATCTGATTCCAAGGAGTTGGATTTGTTGACAAAGCAGACCAATGATCGTACAACAGATGAGTAGCCTATAGTCACGTCGCCTTGCAGACAACCGGTAAGTCTCAATGAATGCTGTAAAGATACAGGAATTGGCTATTGGAGAGCGGAATCAACTTTTCAAGAAAGGGATCGGCTCGATACAATATTTTTAGTTCAAAATGCAAGCTGATGCCAACGGATCAAGACATCAATGCAAGCCAATGTAGCCTTTTATTCAGTTGGATTCAAGAGAATACATCACCAGACTCCGGTGCATCACATATGACTTGCTTTGTGAATGAAGACACTTGTACACATGATAAGAGAAAGCAAACAAGGGACATGCCAGATGAACAACACGTAACAGGAGTCATGTCTTTACCTAACTCATGGATGGAGGAGTCTCAGCAAATATATGTGATTTCTTTTTGCAGTTGGAAATATAAAAATTCAGATGAGAATTAATTGTTTGGCCGGAAAGCTCTGTACAGATGTCATATATCGGTATCAACCATGCAAGGCCAAACGAAGTAAGGGGGATTAGGAAAGCGAATTGGACTTATGCTCTTTCATCAGTTACTTCTTCACTGCTGTCCGTTATTCCCTCACTTCCAACATCTCCAAGACTAGATATATAGCCGATGGGATTAAAGTTGTCCAATGAAATTTTGAGCCAATGAAATTATTTTATCAAGAGCGACCGATAAATTTCCATCGGATTGGGTTATATGGCTTGTTCATGTTTGACGGCATATGTGCGAGAACACAACTACAAGATGGGTGGATGGCTATATTAGTATTTGGCATGGATACTCAGAAGGATGTTATGCTTTGCTCGAGTTAAATAGAAGGATCTGAGTCTAGCCCATTTTCCAAAGAAACATGCTGTCTGGTATACGACATTAAGTCAACTACAGTACATTGATCGTCAAACAGGCCATCTGAGATATCAGTTGGGAGAATAGTAAGCCATAATCTTAATTTGAGTTGCAGTGCAGGCCAATGATATATAAGCATATTATATTCCATCGGCCAAAATAAAATATAGTATCCGTCTGAATATAATACAATCACATATGGTATGAAGATGGGAGGAAACAAAGCTGGAAGCCATAAGAAACCAAAGACATTACCATCAACACACATCAGATGAGAGAAGATCGTTAGCTGGTGATTACTATTGGTGTACAGTTGATAGAAGGAGATTGTCAGCCGAAAGTTATTGTCAGCACACAAAAAATCAGCTCCAAGTATTGATAAGTGCTTAGAGTATATTTAAATATCATGGTGGCCAGAATATTTTATTGGCATCTCAGCTGATGAATATATTATGTGCATCGATTTGGCATGGTGTTATTAGCTGGTCACATGCAGATAACTATGGTTAATGGCAAGAAAGAAGCTGATGTTCATGCCCATCGTCTCTACATAGCCGATTATAATTATAGACTCGAAGGTAGCTCCTAATCAGCTAAAGCAAGTGAATGGTTAGGAGTTCTAGAGGATTGAATCCAAGCAAGTCATCAAGGATATCGGCTCATGAAGGCTGATTGCAAGATGCAGAGGAAGATCAATTTTGGAGTTATCAAGAACTAAAGGAAGATAATTTTGAAGCATGAGTTCTCACAGTCCAAACTGGAGGGCCTGATTGCACGCCTGGTATGAAAAGCATTGGCTTATGACAACCAACTTTCAAGATAGAAGATAATTTCAAGTGGAAACCAAAGCATCAGGGCTAGAGGCCGATTATGTTTTGCTTCTGATATGGTTGCTATAGTCAAGATAAGAGATTAAGAAGTTAAGCTAAGTATTAGACTATGCTTAAGGAACTTCAACTTCTTTAGGAAGTAAAAGCCGATACTATTGAGGTATTTGAAGATTTACAATTAGTAATTAATCAATTGATTGGCCTATATAAATGAAAAGATGATACTTTGGAGGAGTATTTTGACATTGTCAGTCTAGCAGCAGTGTGCTTCATCATTATTCAAAAGGAAAAATAGTTATTATTTGAAGGTGGATTTGGCAATGTTACAGAGAGACATGTTCATAAATTCTGGTTAAAATCACAACATCGATACTGAAAGCCGATGAGATATGTCTATCGGCTACATGTTATTCAGGTAGATTTGACACCAAGTTAATTATGGAGAAGATTGACATGAGAAAGGAGGCACGCGGGATCAAGACAGAGCTCACTTCAGATAGGATATGCATTGGTAATGGATACCTTCTTTGTTCTCAGCATGGCTTCTAGAATTACGATCTGATTAAGCCGATAGCCTGATAACGCATCGACGGCTTCAAGCAATTGTTTTCCTAAGGGACAGAAGTGACCAAGAAAAAAAG